GGTGGTTTGCAATGTGATGGCGGTTGTCGGTGCGGTGATCTGTGAGACTGCCACGTCATATCCGTCGCATAATGTGAAGTTAAGCCCAGGCACGTAAGTACACTGAATGCCACACACTGCCTGAGTGTAGTCTCAGGCTCAAACAACCGTGTATCCTGCTATTCCTTTCCTTAGGCAACGTACATACACAGTTGTCTGGCTTGCCGTGTTGCTCACCTACACGGCAAGCCAAGTACTTCTATCGAGTTCGTTGTATGAGCGATGTAGTGCTGCCAAGGCTCAACACCATTTGCAGCGTTTGTTTCTATTTACAACCTAAGCACATTCTATCCATGGCTTGCCGTGATCTATTAGCTACAGTACTACCGGTAGTACATGGCAAGCTAAATGGTTTGGACCAGGTTCAGTGATACTAAATCGTTTCTAGTATGGTTGGATGGTTGAATATTAGAGAGATTTTGCAAGTGTCCGCTCGCGGTCGCCTTCTGCCTTGCTTTTTGTGTCAGAGGCAGTTCGAACAGAATATCAGAGTTGACTTGCACGAATTTCGTGCCCCCCACCCAGATGAATAATTTACTTGAATAATTCAAACAGAATATGCAATGCATGTATTATCGAACAGGATTAACAGTACAGTAAGATAGAACTAGATACCTTACTCAACGGAGCTCATCATTTCTTGAACGTCTTCAATCGTCCAAAGGTTGATATATTAATTAGCATGCAAAAACATTTGCTCCTCGAAAGTTTTCGGGGTCATGCTGCAACGTCAATCTCCTATGGCCAACTTGGTAGACGAAAAGAAGCGCTCACACATGTTGGACGTTAGGCACAAGAACCGGCAATCCATGAAGCCGCTCGTCACGCGCGTCACCTTCTTCTTTTTCAACGCCCGCTCGGCCAGAGACATCAAAGGAAGCGCCACGGCCGCCGCGCTGGATTCGATAGTTTCTTCATTGCGCAGCTTGATCACGCTTTCACACTCTTCAGCTGTCATCGTTGTCTCGGTGCCGCGGAGGATCTTGACAATGGCGCTCTTAAAACTTGGGTTTTTGACAACTCGCGCGCTCGGACCTAAACGACCCACTGCATCTTCGATAACCGTATCGAAGGTTTGGCGCACTTCGAAAAGAGAGCATTCATCACCTTGTAAGGCGAGCGTAATCGAGTTGAGGTCTTATAGAGTGACTAGCAGGGCCGTCACTTCGCGATCTTCCACCACATTAAGTCGTGATACTATCGTCAGCAATAGCCAATAGAATGGCTTAAGCTCAATATACCGTTTCAACATGTTGAAACGTCGAACTCCAGCGTGTCGCACTTAGTATAATCGCACGTAGGGGGGTCATACGAAGCAGACGAGCGGCTGGTAGGGTTAAACGAAGCTTGGTCATAAGAGCTTTGTCTTTGTCAATAACAGTCGCGTAGTTGGTGAGCATATCGGACACAAAGAGGTTAAACCGGTGGCTGGCGCATCCAATAAAAGGCACCCCGGCGAGTCGTGCAAGAGCTACATTGGTGGAGCAGTTATCTCCGATAAGTGCGATGACATTGCTCCAGGACTTCCCATACAAACCCAGGACAAACTCAGTAAACTCCACGTGGGCAGCCGCACTTAGAGATTCCTCCTCATTGATTGGTACAAATAACAGTAGTACGCGAGAGTAGCCAACTACATCTCTGGACGGGTAGGACGCAAACAGAGCAAGGTAATGGATTGAGCCACACGACCGACCATCGAACACAAGGGCGAACTTCTCAGGTAGTAGAAGTGCCACCTTCTTCTCGACGAGAGCACTTAGTCCGTGCATGTACTTCATGAACGAAGTTCGAGAGATCGAGTCAAAGTTGGCGAAGCGGCGGACGGTTGGATTTGACACAAACGAAAATGGTAGCAAACACAATGTAATCCAATACAACCAACCAAACGCTGTACGTACATGTCGTGGGACCATGATCTCAAATAGAGCTGAGGCGTTAGGAGGGTTGGTTGCATCAAATGCAACATATCCGGGTTGGTCGGTGGTGATATGCGATACGAGGTTGGTGTACCCACTCCCCTTCTGTGAACGTCGTGCGCCACACCGGCATGTCCAGTCCGTACTGCCAGGAGCATTCCGAGTAAAGAAAAGCTCGGCGAGCTGGCGGCCGCGTACGATGTTGTTGCTGGCGATGTTCATGATTCGTATTCACTTTTGGGTTAATGGCTGATAACCATCCATATCTAGGAGTGGTTTTGAAGCCAGGTGTCGTGGTAACCATGAATTATTCATGTCACAACGAATATTTATTTTTTACCTCTAGAAGTTCGAATAACCTATTTTTGATTGCTCCAAAAATAAGTTATTCATTCTCTCCGCCGTGACAAAAAAACAATATATTTTTAAACGAAAAATGAATATATTCACGGGAAAATTATTTTATGGTCAGCACTGGCACGAACGCGTTGACCTTCTGCTCACAAAATATCCGTCTAAGTAACATTTATTCGGATATTCATCCAGGGCGGGAAATCACTTTGTCCAGGGATGTGCTCATGCAGTGGGAGTTTTGTCCTTGCTTGCCCCCTTGGTGAAACAACGACACAGCAACGTCGTTTCTTAGTGCTGTGTGCGTTAAGCTAAGTTGAGCCCCCAGTTATCCCAGACATCCGGTACAACCTCTATGCTATGTCCGACGCCAACGCATTGCTGAACTTTCGCTTCGGCGTCATGGGAATTAAGAATTTGGGCTACCTACTTGCCCAACTTCTTGATTCCCATGGCGTTGGACGATGTCCCAAAGCGGTTCAGTGCCTTTTTGGCGTCAAAGCAGCATTCACCTGAAGAAGAAGCATGAGATCTGCTTTGTCGTTGAAGACGCGGCGGCTCTGAGGTGTCTCCATGCCAATCAAGAATTCACCACCCGCCACTCAAACCTGATGTGTCAAGTTTGGGTGGAGTTGTTCTTGATTGGCCAAGAACCGCCAATCATAACGTTATGCAGTTATCACAGAGCGGACTGGAATGCGATCTGCACTTAATGGCAATCAGATTTAAGAGGACCCGTTCGTGTTCTACATAAAATTTGACAGGTCGACTTCCAGTTTTGGCAGATAAATGGAGCGCGACCGCCAAAGGACTCTTGCAAAACCTCTCTATTGTATTCCATAAATTTTTCAAGACGAATTCTGGTTATTTTAATTCGAAGTAGCTCGCCGTATTCCAGTCTCGTTATGACCCCATTGCTTCAATGCCACATATTGCTGCTGGTGTTTCATGTCAACTCGACGAGAACGCGGTGGACATTTTATCCGCCTAAGTTCGATCAGTAACAGCAAAAAATACTTTTTCACAGTGCCAATTACAGTGGGGACTAGGGCATATATCACCCGCAGTTAAAGTGGGGAGTCATCGTCACACCTGGTGGATATACTAGTATAGGAATATAGGGGATCGAAAGATTCACAGGGCGAAGGTAATGCCAATGATGTCGTCGATTCGTGATTTCTGCGAGTAAGTTTAACTTACAGTAAGTTACTACTTGCAGTACGATACTACATTACTACTACATTCATTCGTCCCGTCCAAACGATTGACGCCTTTCCCTGTGGGCAAATACAGTAACGACCTATCTGCGCGTTGGATGAGACCATGATTAACGAAATCGACGGAGCCCCAGCTTCCAATTATATGTGTGTTTAGGAATGAGTGATGTGTCCAATACGAAAAGTCTACATAGAGACCAGCAGGTACAGTACCGGTACTGTAGAATGATGTCGGTAGATACATACATCTGCATCATCGCATTTACAGTGTTAGTGCATCCTTGCCAGTATAGATTCATACAGGAATTCTCTGGTGCAAAAATAACTTGTCACATTCAATATATACCCCAAAAAATCACGTAATTTTGAGTGGCTGGAAATATCTTATATATTCCCGTGGCGTCAGCACATCCAAGTAGCAGCAACACAATAAATTGCGGTGAACTATACTACTGTACGCACTCTAAATGAAGGGACACGAACGCACTAATAGTTGAGGACTGTATTGGTGGGCGTTCTTCTTGACCGCGAGCAGTCGTCCATGCGTTGAGTGTAAGGGTAGATTGATACTGGTAGAACTTCGAGTATTAAACATGCCATTATGAAACGACTTTAATTTGGAATGCGCAGTATATGCAGTAGTAGCATGAAGTGATGACATTAGTTTTTGAGGATGGCGTCGAACTGTTAGCAAGAATTGCTCCGCTCGATGTTTCCAAACTCCCCTTGTACGATGAATGAGAATACCAAATGAGTATACCAAGTCGGTCCTCGCAAGTGTACTTCTTGCACTTTTTCTACTGGATCGAGTACAATAAAACTACAAGCATGCATAGCAATCAGTAGAGAACGTGTGGGTATGAAGTCTTGGCGTCCTGATAAATAGTCGCGCGATTGAAGAATCATTCATCTCATATCTCGTTTATAACTAACTGTATGATTCAGCTTTCATTGGGCCATTGACCTTACCTTTGTGTATGTATCACTTTATGTTTGTATACATCGCAATATTAATATAACAGGAATTCAAGTTCCTTGAATATTATTAACCTGTATCAGTTAGTAGTTTTATACACTTAATATATTAGAGGTTAAGCTCAAGCATCCATTAATAATAATTTTTGTATGTCCGGAGCGAAAACAAGAATGAAGTGTCTCAGGGCTGTTTATACGGATTCGGATACGGCACATGGCAATCCGACTCGAATTAACAGTAAACTACTACGTAGTAGACGTCATCATAGTTTAACCTAACCCTATCCGTCAAAATAGTCAACTTGGATGTTACAAAAACCAAGTAATTCCATGTTGACGGTTTGTCAATCAATATACACGTTCCAGTTATATCGACGACACCGCCAAATCAGGTGTGTGTAACTTACTGCAATGTGAAAGTGTTTCGACGGCGGAGTGTCGCAGCATATTGCTAAAAACCAACGGCGGGGTGTCGCAGCATTATTGCTAAAATCCCACCGTGGGTTTCTGGGGATTTTTCATTACTCCGTGCTGAGGGTAGACAAACATCTTGAGCATGGAGCTGGCAGCGACATTGGTGTTCGATGCGATGCTGCAATCAAAGCGAGCCGAGTGTCATCTGGCCATGATCGAGGCCGCCAAGAAGCTGCTGGAATGTCGAAACGACGTGAACGAATCAATGGCGCGCTTGCACGAGATTGCCGAAGACGCGGACGCCAACTGCGACGACAACGCCGAATTGGCGCGGTTGGTCGCTGAAAAGGGACAAGAGATGGCGTTGTTGGTGCGGCTGAGGCAGCTGCTCAACCATCGCCGCCTCATCATGCGCGTTGCCCACGCCAACACGAAGTACCTCGACAAGTCGCGACTTTCATTGCGGAATCGACAGCGCCGGCTTGTAGAACGAGCATTCCAACGAGGACACTTGCATGCACCGAATAGTAGCTAAGAGCGCATAAAGATCACCCCCATTGCAAATAGAACGACAGTATTTGTTGTGTCTACCAAGGCCGCAGAAATACTGAGAGTGTCACGAAAATGGGTTCGACATGTACTGTAACTTGCCTAACTTTATAAATACTTAGTAGTACAGTACAGTACTAGGGGATTGCGTCCGTTTCAAATCTTAACACGGCGATCAATGTTATAGCATGAGTCAAACGAGATTTCACGATCAGAGCGAGCTCCAAGGAATGCTGGCATTAATGTGGTGAGGGGCGATTAAGGAGATGAAAAGACTCCGTCCGTTAACGACGACGATGCTATTTGGGACCAAAGATTAGAGGCCTTTCCAGTGCAAACAGTTATTGTAATGGCGCTGGCACAGACTGAAACTTCGTTGGGGTCCAGTACTCTATTATTAGCCGCAAAACGACACCAAATTGCCAACACTCTGCGCCGGCTGCGCATGACAGCTCCCATGCAGCGTCTAAAGTCGATGTCACTGCTGTCCCCAAGTGAAAGTCCTTCCATGCAACAACCCATGTCAAGACCTACTCTCACCCATGTTGTGTCGAATGCCGTCGCGTGGTTTGGAACGTGCTTGAGTGTCGTGTGTGTAGCGTTGATGGCCGTGGACATTGTCGGCAATAACTGGGAGCTCAACGACTTTGTCGGCAACGCCAAGCACTTTACAACGCCCTTGTTGGACACCACGACACGGGACAGCGTTGGCTCCATGTACGCGTTTCCCGCGCTGTCGTCACCCGCAGCCATTTCAAACGTGGGGAAATTCATGCTAGACATGGTCCTCGATCAGGTTCATAACCCGGGCAAGTACTATCTCTTGACCATGAGCTCGTTTGTCATTTTGAACGACGCCAACGACATCTGCGGTCGCCTCAAGGGGTCGTATCCTGTGGACGCAGCGGTCAACGTCACCGTGCGCCTCGGCACCATCCAAGACGAAGTGACGTTCGTGCGAGGCACGGCGTTGAGTCATGTGTTTGGCAGCACAACCACCGCCCCCCGCGCGCCCCCCGGAGCCCCCTCGTCAACTTTGGATGCCATGGGGTATACCCCAGCACGAGTTGGCCTCGACATGCGATTTACCACGGCCATTCCCGTCGTCGACAGTTCTGGTCAGAATACCCCCCTCAATGTGACCATGTACCGAGTGTACAGCAAAGCGTTTTGTTCGGGCTGTCGACCCAACACCGAACTGGGCTTGGACACATGTGAGATCGTGCGTTCATACAACGACACAACGAAATATCTCGTCGTTTCGTCGAGCAGGGCGACTGTTGGCCTTCGGCACAAGGCGGGTATAATCACGACGCGGCGGCTCGGCCCGATCCTGTCGCTGTGGGTCCGCCTGACGAGCATCCTGTTGGCATTTGGGACGTTTGCCACGACCAAAAAGACCGTGCGGTGGACAGACGCGCTGTCGTTGACGTCGTGGCACGCCCGGCTTCTCCACAAGTTCGCCCCTCCGATCCATCGACAGACCAGTCACGCCATGGACTTTGTTTACTTTTGCGTCAACAGCGACGTCGTGGTCCTCGCGTATTCCGTGGCTACGTTGTTTGACGAAGACGTGGCCATGGTGTACGCGCGGGTCGCGACCAACTGGTACTCGAACGCGCCGTTTGATTGGTGGATGGAGTTGCGACTGTGTGCGTTAGCGATCCGATGGCTGTGGTTCAACTTGGGGCTGCTCAAACTCGTCAAGTGCATCAGCCATATCGTGAGCAAGCATCGGACGAACGGCGCCAACGTCGTCATGGGCTGCCTCAACTTTAGCTCCGTCCCGTGGATCTACACGACGGTGGGCGCCGTGCTGCTCCGCACAGAGTACATTGAGTATGGCAACTCGGTGCGGGCTAACGTCTTGTCGACGGGCGAAGACCTCGAGGCGATTTATGTCGAGTTCGAGTCCAGCTGGTACATGCGGGGCCTTCCATCGCTCGTGTGTCTTCTCTTGGGCAACTTGATGTTGATACTTACTGTCGACCACGTGGTATACTGGAGGTGGTGGCGCGTGGTGGCCACCAATTCGCTCGGCCGGCAGTACATGTTCAATTCCACGTCCATTGTCATCAACAAGGACCTCTTGGTGCACGGCGAAGGGCTCCATCCGACTCTGTCGATTCCAGCGCGAGATTTGAGCACCATGCAATGGTTCTTCACTAGTCATTTGACATGCTTTGGACTGCCCGAAGATCCAGGTGTGGTTCGAAAACTCGTGGCCACAAAGGTTGCCACGACCATGGCGAGCAACGGCATATTGGAACTTCAGTCGACAGGGCCCATGTTGGTAAGGGGGAACACAAAGCCGAAGCTCCAAACGAGCCCATCCAAAGGTCAAGTTCAACCAGGAGCGTCAGCTCGAAGGAATGCCGGCCCCGGGACGGAATTGATGGAATTGCACTTTCTGGTACAAGATCGCGACGGATGGCTTCGATTGTACGACAGCGAAAAGCGCGAAGTGCAAACTGTTGGTATGGAACCCAAGGTTTTGAAAGGGACGACCCTTCAACTTGGGTAAGAAGCTGAGTAATCGTCGCGCACTCGAGAGATTAATAGCGCGCACTCGAGAGATTAATAGGTCGTTGGCGAAGTACAAGTAGTAAGTAGAACATGAACTTGTAACCTGTGTCATGGCAATACCGAGTCGCAGAAGCAAACCTCAGATCGATCAACACGAACGACAATTACAACTGCACCTGTCAGTCGCCACGTTAACGCAATGTAACCTTCCTTCCTCCTGTACCACGTGTAAACGTGGTATCCAATCTGAAATGCATTTTCTATTGACATTACTGTACAGTACTTCGAAACCGACATTTGATTGAAAATCGTTAGCCTGCCTGGCTAGACATGTGTCCCAAGATGCATGTCGTGAACTTCCAGCAATGCTGTTCTTGCCTTGAATGTCACAATCGCGAAGGCTTGTGCTTCGTATTCCGTGAACCAATTGACTGCTGCGTATGATTTACTAGTAACGTTATAATTAATACATTTTTGTAGGCATGCGCCACGCTAAATTTATCCTCAATCGGTGTACTACACTAGGCTGAAAATAGCTTGTCCGTTGCGCCGCAAATGAAAACCCACAACGAAAAACCAATCTCCATGGTCCCCGCGCAATTGACCAAGAAGCCGTCCAAGCTGCATGCCACAGCCACAAGGACCCTTCGCTTCCTCGTGCTCGTAGTGAGCATCTCATGTTCACTCTTGGTTCTCGTGGACATCGTCGGCAACAACTGGGAACTGAACGACTTCACTGGCAACGCCAAGCACTTTTTAACGCCGCTCCTCACCACGTTCTCGATCGACGAACTGGTCCAGACGTATGCGTTTCCCACAGACTCATCGCCATGGTCGGCCTCCAACGGCGGCCGTTTCATGATCAATTCCGCATTGAATCAAGTCCACGACTTAGGGGGAGATTATTATCACCTCACGCTCGGGTCGCACACCATCGACACGCCCGAGAACAACATTTGCGGCCAGTTGGTCGATGCATACCCCCTTGTAAACACATCCAAGTCGGTGGTCCGCCTCGGGTCGGTTCAAGATCAAGTCACGTACATTCGAGGCACGACGTTGACTCATGTGTTTGGCGACTCGCTGGGCACCGAGCTTGGTCACTTCGGAGACAACGCGTCCAAACTAGAGTCCCTCGGGTATGTGGCCGGACGAGTAGGGCTGGACATGCGGCTCACCACGGCGATTCCAGTGTCCACCCAAGGCAAAACTGTGACGCTGAACGTGACCATGTACCGGTTTTTCAGCAAGTCGTTTTGCTCGGGGTGTGCCCCCAACACGGAGCTCGGCATGGACACGTGCACGATCGTGTACTCGACCGACGAATCCACGAACGTACTCCATGTGCATTCCAGTGGCGCGATCTACGGCGAGTCACATGTTCTGGGCATCATCCTCCTCAGACGGTGGGGGCCCGTGCTATCGCTGTGGCTCCGGGGGCTGTGCATCCTCGCAGTTCTGGCGGCGTTTGCGGCGAGCCAGAAAACCGTCCAGTGGACCGACACCATGACATTCACATCGTCGTGGGTGAAGCGCATGGTGCACAAGTTTAGCCCGCCGCAATACCGGCATGTGAACAACGCGTTTCACTTATTATACTTTTGCTTCAACAGCGACTTTACGGTACTCATGTTGTCAGTGTCTGTTATGTTTGACGAAGACATTGCGATGGTGTACGGGCGCGTGCTGAGTCGTTGGTCCAAGCCCGCGTCGTTCCAGTTGTGGACGCAGTTGCGGCTATACGCGCTCGACTTTCGGTGGATGTGGTTCAACCTGGCGATCCTCAAGCTTTTAAAACTGGCGTGCAACCTCGTCAATACCGCCAGGTTCAACGGCCACAACGTCGTCATGGGGTGGCTTAACTTTCGCAGCATCACATGGGTGTACCTGACAGTGTTTGTTCTATTTGAACGGATCGACTACACCGAGTACGGCAACTCGATCCGTGTGGACGTGACGCCGTTGGAGGACGACTTGGACGCGATTTTTGTCGAGTTTGAGCACAGCTGGTACATTCGCGGCCTGCCGTCGCTGGCGATGCTCATGCTTGGCAACTTGCTGCTCGTGCTGTGTGTTGACCACGTTGTGAACCGGCACTGGTGGGTACTCGTAGCAAAGACGTCTCTCGGCCGTCAGCACATGTACAACTCGTCGTCCATTATCACCGATTCGGGACTGCATGTGTCGGGGGAGGGCGGCGGGGTCGCTGCCACGATCACAATCAAAGCGCGCACCATGTCGACCATGCGGTGGTACTTTACGAGCCACTTGCTGTGCTTTGGCCTGGCGGAGGAGCCGACTGCGTTGAGGAAAACGTCGACAACAAACGGCGCCAAGACGCCGATTTCGATCCACGTTGCGTCAGAAGCTAAGCTGGACAAGGTGACGCCGTCGTCGGCAACAACGTTCGATGCGATGGGCGACGTACACTTTTTGGTCCAAGATCAAGAAGGGCACGTACATTTGATCGACGCGGACAAGCGCGAAGTGCAAGCGCTGGGTGTGGAAGTCAAGATCCTTCGAGATTCGCAATTTACACTTGGATAACAAGTCCAAAGTGGTTTAAATTATCGGTAGAGGTTAATTGGAGCAAGGGGTATTTAGGTGCGCCGCGGTCAACCGAAGAAATCTCGTGAACTGTCGAGGGGAGATTATTGGTCACGGACGCTAGCGGTTGGTATTATTCACCATATCAACACCATGCAATAATATGGATGGGAGGATGAATGTGACCAAAGGATATGTTTTGCTTGCACATAATGCACTGGTTGTTGAATGCTGTGACTTTGTGAACCAGTTCATGATTTTGCAGTTGCTGTTGTATGCTGCACTCCCCACAGCCTTACCAGAGGGTAGACTCCTACGTGAGCAAACTGCAGTTGCTCATGACCACCACAAAGAATGGCTGCATGCAAAAACGATAGGAATGTCGACAACTACCGTCGTAACCAAACCAGAATATGTGGATTGCAATGATCTTGCCACCGTTTGACTGTCATATCCAACGGCGACCATGGACATGTCAAGAACGACAATGAATTTCAGTGGACAAGCCCATTCTTGCCTTGCAGGTGCGATACGGTGTCCTGGCAGGGCAACAAATTGTACCAGGGTTTAGGGGTTTCGTGGTTGGAGCTAACAATGCTGGTGCAACCAAGGGTTTTGAGAAACCTGAGATTCCTAGTGTTTTTGTCCTATTAATAGTTACACTTCCCGTCGCATTGCCATGACATCTTGGGTGTGTCACGTTGCATTCTGAAATCTGTGGCGTGACGATGGTCGTTAATCGATTACCCGAGTACTACCAGCGTTTATAGTGTTATGGACGTGGTGTCTAATGCGTTACTTCGAGCACACCGGTGCGTGTCCAATCGAGTTAACTTTGTCAGTGTTGAAAGGGGCTCAATGCATGACTTGTTACGAGCATACGACGAGGAATGCGTTGTGCGCGGTATATATTTATAGACTGGTATGTCATTTGTCGGTTATATACGCATTAGGAACGATAACACATCAGTCATTTTGCAGCAATAACATCATCTCGAGTGTATTATCAATACGTTAGACTAACGTTAGTAGTTGAGAATCACAATATCGTTAGTAGTTCACAGTAGTAGTGTATATCAGATATCAGTATACCCCTACTGTATTTTTGTGTAGATTCTACGAGCATCTGCACCATTCATTGCCTACTGTAGCAGCAGGAAATGGGTGTTATTGGGTTTGTAGAAGAGCCAACAACAATCACTATTTATAGTTCTTGTGTTATTTCGCTGCTTGCTGTAACGAAGTGAAACCAATGGTAACCTGCATCGTCGAGTCATGTCATTGCCCAAATTACCGAGAAAGAAACACACCTCCCCTCCATGCCCTCCCTCGTCGTTTCTCCCTCCACAGGAGCCCTGAACCGCCGCTTGGATGCCATAACATGCAAATCTCGTTTCAAATCCATTCGCACCAGGGTAAATCGCTTAGCCGGGTTGTTCTGTGCCATCCTGTTGACCATAGACGTCGTAGCCAACGACTGGGAGATCATCAGCTACGTGGGCAATGGCAGACACTTTCTTACCCCCCTTCTGGACGTTGAGAGTGTCGACGACATGGAAGTGGACTACTCGTTCCCTGCAATGAGCTCCCCCAACGGCGTGTCCAAGATCGGTCGGTTCATGATCGACGTCGCCCTGGCACAACTCATCGACAGGACTGGTGCATCGTACGTTCTCAGCATGGGGTCGTTTTCAATCAATGACCCCTCCAGCAACCTCTGTGGGAGCTTACGCCAAACTTACCCTGTCTTCGGTACTGCCATTTCCAAGAACAATTCGATTCACTTGGGCACAGTCAAGGATGGGATTACCTATCTCCGTGGCAACACCCTAACCCACCTGCTTGGCTCGAGTGTAACGTCCCACGTCGCAGCACCAGGCGCAAATGATAAGCAGCTACAAGATCTGGGGTATGTGCCTAGCCCAGCCTTCGCCGACATACGGATCACTACCCCCCTCCCTCTACCACCCCCAGGTCAAGTGACACAGTTCAACGTGTCCATGTATCGGTTTTTCTCGACATCGTATTGCTCGGGGGGTGTACGCCTTACACTGAACTAGGACTCGACATGTGCTCCGTTGTGTACTCGTGTACGCCTTACACTGAACTAGGACTCGACATGTGCTCCGTTGTGTACTCGTACAACATCACGGCCAGCACTGTGACAATTTCCAGCAGTGTCAACGTTCCTGGGTTCCAACACGGCCTAGGAATGATGTTTCAGCGAACTTGGGGGACTATGGCCTCGCTCATTGTTCGATTTGTGTGCGTGGTTATGGTGCTTGGAGCGTTTGGAGCCAGCGAGAAGACTGTGCGGTGGACAGAGCCCGGGGATGTCGACTCATGGTTCAAGCGCCTCATCCACCTCGTGGCCCCCGCGCAGTACCGCCACCCGAGTGGCGCGTTTGACTTTGCCTACATCTGCTTCAACAGCGACGTGCTGGTGTTGTTGTATACCCTGGCCGTGCTTTTCGACGAGAACATTGCCATGTTGTTCTCAAGAACGCTCTATCGGTGGCACCGTCAAGGAGAAACAAACGTATGGATCGAGCTGCGACTCATGGCCTTCAGTCTACGCTGGCTGTGGCTCAACTGCCTCTTCTTGAAGGTCAGCAAGTTTCTGTGTCACTTTGTCAACAAGTCGCAGTACACTGGCCAAAACGTGGTCATGGGATGGCTCAACTTTAGCTCGGTCACGTGGATTTACCTCTCCTATGCTGTTTTGGCGTCTCGGAATACCTTTATCGAGTACGGCAACTCGGTCCAATGCGACTTGGTCTCGACGACGCAAAACTTGGACGCGATCTTTGTCGACTTTTTCGACAGTTGGTACATTCGCGCGACGGGGCCACTACTGCTTGCGATAGTGGCCAACTTGGTGGTTATCCTACTCCTCGACCACACGTGGAACCGAGCGTGGTGGCGTCAACTGGCCAGCAACTCGCTGGGCCGTCAGCATATGTTCAACTCGACGTCCATTCTATGCGACGACGACATGCACTTCGTCGTCCGACCGGGGTATGCCGGGACGAGCGTCGAGGTGCGAGCGCGGGCACTGTGTACGATGCAGTGGTTTCTGTCGAGCCATGTCTTGCGATTCGGGCTACAAGAACACCCCCAGGCCGTGCGGCTTGTAGTAGCCACGAAAGCGCCTTCAACTGTCTCTGGCCACTTTCACAGCCACCACCCCAATGGCGGTAGAGAGTCGGATTCGTCGATTGCTTCGAAACGCGGGTCAGCTGCAAGTCGACGTGTAAAAGAAGACGCGACCGCCACCGTGTCGCCAATGGCTGACGAAGAAATCCGAGCAAGCTCCGAGTCCACAGCAACAGCTGACCACGCCAGTAGCCGCGACATATACTTGATTGTTCAAGATAGAGAAGGCCACATTCGCATGTTTGACGCGGAGAAGCGGGAATTGCAAGCTTTGGGGCTCGAAATGAAGATTCTACGGGATTCGACATTCCATGTGGCGTAGATAGCGATGACATGATTTGTTGCCACACTGTACCCCGCTACATTTTGCTATTAATAGTAGAGCTACCGGGAATAAGAAATATTAGAGTGTTTGATAAGAAACCAAACGACACCTTTCTTATAACCAAGTTCTATATTTACTTCACTGCTCAATCGACCAAGGACGACGACACATGTCAATGCAGTCCCTCATTGCCGCTGCTACTCCCCCGACGGGACCTCTGCACCGCGGCTTGGGTGTGAAAACATTCTCTACGTTTCAACCTCGGTTCAAATCGATTCGCACCAAGGTGACGCGCGTAGCCGGACTCTTTTGCGCCATTCTTTTGGCCATTGACGTCGTAGCCAACGACTGGGAGATCATCAGTTATGTGGGCAATGGTAGGCACTTTCTTACCCCCCTTCTGGACGTCGAGAGTGTCGACGACATGGAAGTGGACTACTCGTTCCCTGAAAGGAGCTCCCCCAACGAGGTGTCCAAGATCGGTCGATTCATGATCGACGTCGCCTTAGCTCAACTCATCGACCGAACCGGCGCGTCGCACGTTCTCAGCATGGGGTCGTTCACAATCAACGACCCAGCGAGTAACCTCTGTGGGAGTTTGATCGATGCATACCCCGTGTTTGATACTGCCGTTTCCAAGGACAACTCGATCCACTTGGGAACAGTCGACGACGGCATAACGTATATCCGAGGCAACACCCTCACCCACTTGTTTGGTTCGACGCTAATTTCCCCCCTGGCAGCACCTGGCGCCAAGGACAATGAGCTGCAGGCATTGGGGTATGCACCTAGCCGAGCCTTCGTCGATATGAAGATCTCAACGCCACTTCCCTTGCCGCCCCATGGCGAAACAGCACAGTTCAACGTGTCCATGTATCGGTTTTTCTCGACATCGTATTGCTCGGGGTGTACGCCTTACACTGAACTAGGACTCGACATGTGCTCCGTTGTGTACTCGTACAACATCACGGCCAGCACTGTGACAATTTCCAGCAGTGTCAACGTTCCTGGGTTCCAACACGGCCTAGGAATGATGTTTCAGCGAACTTGGGGGACTATGGCCTCGCTCATTGTTCGATTTGTGTGCGTGGTTATGGTGCTTGGAGCGTTTGGAGCCAGCGAGAAGACTGTGCGGTGGACAGAGCCCGGGGATGTCGACTCATGGTTCAAGCGCCTCATCCACCTCGTGGCCCCCGCGCAGTACCGCCACCCGAGTGGCGCGTTTGACTTTGCCTACATCTGCTTCAACAGCGACGTGCTGGTGTTGTTGTATACCCTGGCCGTGCTTTTCGACGAGAACATTGCCATGTTGTTCTCAAGAACGCTCTATCGGTGGCACCGTCAAGGAGAAACAAACGTATGGATCGAGCTGCGACTCATGGCCTTCAGTCTACGCTGGCTGTGGCTCAACTGCCTCTTCTTGAAGGTCAGCAAGTTTCTGTGTCACTTTGTCAACAAGTCGCAGTACACTGGCCAAAACGTGGTCATGGGATGGCTCAACTTTAGCTCGGTCACGTGGATTTACCTCTCCTATGCTGTTTTGGCGTCTCGGAATACCTTTATCGAGTACGGCAACTCGGTCCAATGCGACTTGGTCTCGACGACGCAAAACTTGGACGCGATCTTTGTCGACTTTTTCGACAGTTGGTACATTCGCGCGACGGGGCCACTACTGCTTGCGATAGTGGCCAACTTGGTGGTTATCCTACTCCTCGACCACACGTGGAACCGAGCGTGGTGGCGTCAACTGGCCAGCAACTCGCTGGGCCGTCAGCATATGTTCAACTCGACGTCCATTCTATGCGACGACGACATGCACTTCGTCGTCCGACCGGGGTATGCCGGGACGAGCGTCGAGGTGCGAGCGCGGGCACTGTGTACGATGCAGTGGTTTCTGTCGAGCCATGTCTTGCGATTCGGGCTACAAGAACACCCCCAGGCCGTGCGGCTTGTAGTAGCCACGAAAGCGCCTTCAACTGTCTCTGGCCACTTTCACAGCCACCACCCCAATGGCGGTAGAGAGTCGGATTCGTCGATTGCTTCGAAACGCGGGTCAGCTGCAAGTCGACGTGTAAAAGAAGACGCGACCGCCACCGTGTCGCCAATGGCTGACGAAGAAATCCGAGCAAGCTCCGAGTCCACAGCAACAGCTGACCACGCCAGTAGCCGCGACATATACTTGATTGTTCAAGATAGAGAAGGCCATGTTCGCATGTTTGACGCGGAGAAACGCGAATTGCAAGCCTTAGGGCTCGAAATGAAGATCCTAAGGGATTCGACATTCCATGTGGCCTAGGTGGTTAGGTTAGTGATACTCCCTTGTACCTGTCAATTGCGTCAATCATACTACGTACACGTTAGTGATTCTCCTTTGCATTGTACCTGTCGACTGGGTTAATCACAGTACGAGCGTTAGTGCTGTATCAATCGAGTTCACTTAAATCTTGTGTTAGTCATGGTTGTCTTGATTTGAAATGTGGATTTCGGCGGAAGACTTCAGATGCACTTCGAGACCATTTGGCACATGTAACAACAGGTCGTTTACGATAGCTACCCAGCTGAGGGCACGATTGCTATTTTTACTCAAGAAGGCCATGACCAAAGGTCAAACTGCCTTTGGTTTTAGCGTGCGTTGCTAAGTGCTTCTAAACAACATTCTTAAGCTGGAAATACTGGTTTGAATGTATATATCCACATAAGACGCCCAGCTCGTGACTGCCGTGGATGCCATTGGCAGCGGAAAAGGCCAAGTGGTTACTATTGAAGCGTCCCGGACGGTGAGTCGGATATCTTTAACTCTAATAGAAGATTCAGAAACTGCCACTAACGTTTTTTCGGAGACAACACCCAAACCGTAGAGCAGCCGAAGCCCTCATTGTGGGTTAAGTGCCCGCTGAGCGATTTTAACTTTACAGCGAAATATCAATATCAATATCGAAGCCCTCATTATGCAGTACTACATGTACTCCCTCGTAGTATACCAAAAAAAACTATTTGAGACACTCAAGTGGTCCTCTAAGGTTGTTTGTTTTCACCGTTACAAATAACTGGAATAAGAACTGTGAAAACTACAGCGCGATTTTGCGCTCAACTTATGCGAAATTGTTTGCCGAACCATCGCAGCATTTTGACCAACATGGTGTTGTTACGATGAACTTAAATGTGATGTTCTAAATGGGCACTTATCTAGCCAAAGATGGTGACTACGCGGCGGCTCGGGCTTGGTATCAACATAGTTCGTCGCATAAACAAATTCGTTATCGTCGTTGCATTCCAATCTAAACATAGTACCCGTCATATGACACGACGTTTGTGAAAACGGCCAGAGGTCATTTTGATTCTGGTTTTCATGAGCATTACCCGTCCCCCGTCCGTGGTGCCAAGCAACCTCGACACCTCCCTCGCATCCTCGACTTCGCTTCCCTCCCGGGTCGTCCACACCCTCGCGCCGTATGCCGTCGCCCTTGCCAGTTTTGCCTGCGCCATTCTCCTCGTCGTCGATATCGCCGGCAACAACTGGGAGCTCAACGACTTTGTCGGCAATGCCAGACATCTTTTCACGCCGCTGCTGACGACGTTCACCATTGCCGACCTCGAGCGCGACTTCTCGTTTCCAGAGCTCGCGTCCGCGTCCTCCGTGTCCATGGTCGGGCAGTTCATGGTGCAATCCACGCTCGACCAAGTGCACGCTTCAGGCACCGAGTACTACGCCCTGACCATGTCGTCGTACGTGGTCACGAATTCCGTCAACGACATTTGCAGCCAACTCGTCGACTCGTACCCCGTGCCCCCTTCCATGGAATCGATTCGTCTTGGCAACTTGCAAGACAACGTGTCGTTCATAAGAGGCGATACGTTTACCCATGTGTTTGGACACACGGCGACAGCCCCCTTCGCCCCCCCTGGATCCAATTCATCCGTTCTCAAAGCTATGGGGTACACCCCCGCTCGCGTGAGTGTGGACATGCGACTCACCACGGCTATCCCCATCCCTCCACCCTCGTATTCCCCCCAGCACTTCCAGCTGAATGTGACCATGTACCGGTTCTTCAGCAAAGCGTTCTGCTCGGGGTGCCACCCCGGCACCGAGCTCGGCATGGACACGTGTGCGATCGAGTATTCGTATGACGACACGACGAAGCAACTAACTGTCCACAGCAGCCACGCCAACTTTGGCAAGTCCGTGCATGTGTTAGCTATGGTGTTCCTAAGGCGATACGGTCCTGTGGTCGGGTTGTACATTCGCGCGGCGTGCGTCGCGTTGGCCATTGGCGCGTACGCGGCGAGCCAGAAGACCGTGCGCTGGACAGACGCCATGACACTCTCAACGTGGAAGCTGCGGCTTCTGCATATCACGGCACCCCCCGTGTACCGTCAAATGAATCATGCGTTCGATTTCATGTACTTTTGCTTCAACAGCGACGTGTTTGTGATGTTGTACTCCGTGGCAATCTTGCTCGACGAAGACGTAGCCATGGTGTACGCGCGCGTGGTGTGGAGGTGGTATACGGCCGCGGCGTATGAAGGATGGATGGAGCTGCGGCTGCTGGCGCTGGCATTTCGGTGGTTATGGCTCAACTTGGGCATTTTGAAGTTGCTCAAGTGGCTGTGCAACGTCGTGGCGTCGTCGCGGTACAACGGGTCCAACTTTATCATGGGGTGGCTCACCTTCAGCTCCACGGGGTGGATCTACTTGACAGTGATCGCCCTTGCGATGCGCACGCCATTCATCGAACATGGAAACTCTGTGAGAATGGACGTCACGTCCACCACCGAGGACTTGGACACGCTGTTTGTCGAGTTCGAAAGCAGTTGGTACCTTCGCGGGCTGCCGTCGGTGCTGTTTCTCATGGTAGCCAACCTCGTGGCGGTGCTCACACTGGACCACGTCGTGAACCGACAGTGGTGGCGACTCCTGGGTCGCAACTCACTCACGCGCCAGTTCATGTTCAACTCAACGTCCATTCTGTGCGAGCTCAAGGACGTTACGATTCTAGACAGCAAGTACAGCTCCACCGTGACCATCCAAGCGAGGACGGTGTGCACGATCCAATGGTTTCTTCTCAGCCACTTGGTGCGGTTCGGGTTGCCCGAAGAGCCGTCGGTGGTGCGGCGCTTGTCGTCGGCCAAAGTCGCCAAGAAAGCGGGGAGCAACAGCCACCGACCGAGCACTGGTGGATCGGGTAGTGGGTTGACTCTCCCCGTCCTCCATCAACATCAACCCACAGGAGACGACACGGCCATCACCGCCACCGCGGACGGAACAAGAGATGACGCCCCCCAAGGCGAAACCCATGAAATGTATCTTATCGTGCAAGATCAAGGCGGCCACGTGTACATGTACGACTCGGCCAAACGGGAAGTACCCGCGCTTGGGGTGGAGGCCAAAGTTGCCATCGATGCCATCCTGCACCTTCAATAATCATCAGGGTAGCAATGTAGAAACGTTTATAAGGGACGTTAGCCAAATCCCCGACGATAGTGCAATTCCGCTGTTTTGGGTTTTGACTGTGGACCATACAGGTGCAGTTTAGACCAACAAGCAATCAAACCTATCTGTCAAGTGCACTATAAGCTTACGACTTTTGACAATAGGAGGGTTAATAGTGTAACGTCGACTTCGCACGACTTATATTTCGGAATAATCCAACCTGCAGTAATGCAGTAAGTATACTGTTAACAGTATTACTACTTGCTACTGTATATATGTAACCCTAACCTAATCGGGTGGACTAGGCCGAGTTAGAATTCTTGAAGCAAGAGCGATGCATACGTCCGACACTCGTCCACGTCGTCGTGCAGGAGGTCCTGGACTAGTTGGTCGCCATGGTTCTTTTTGCATCGAGCAAGGTTGGCGGCGTGGCCGACGGCGCTGCTGTAAAGGGCCATGATGGCATTGCGGCGCACGTCCTAATGTACAAACTCTTGAAGGGACAAAGAAGGCGATATATCAAAGCAGCATCCCATACATCGTCGGGGGATCCCAACAGTCTGAGCAGCAGATTGATAGCTCCAGCATCGCCAACCAAGTCCTACGACACACAAACGCTGGTGGAGATATCTATCCAAAACGAAGTACTTATCTCTCGATCAATCGTACTTGGCTCAGGATGTTCTGATGTACCCCGTGGCTGATGGCCCACGCCGAGCACTCGTTGGTCTAATTGCATACATGCAAGCAATCGATTTGAATGATCAATGTTTAAAGGTGAGTCGGACACCACAAATAATCCAAGGAAATATGGCTCGAGATGAAGCGTACGTCTGGAAGGTACGTGTGAGACAAGAGCAGCACCAGGTCTGGCAGTCCGCCCACCTAGACACATATACGATTTTGCACATGACAAATATCTAGGTACGCCAACCAAGGATTCTTCATAAAGCTGACCTCTCGAAGTTGATTCTGGGCCATCACGTCACGTGTCGACAGTACGTTGCCAATGGTCAAGGCTGCCGCACTTCGAAGGGACTCGCCTACGTCAGGGGCATGCCACGTCAGCATTCCCATTTGGTCAACGATAATATCGTCAATTCGTTGCGGTCGTCGTTCAATCGTTCACGTACCGCGACCTGCTTGGAGCAGTTCAGACAACACTTGCATGCAATTAGTGTCTTCCAAAAGACTGCGCGCGGCATCTGGCACGGCACTGGCGTTGCCTACATGTATGTGGTATTTAGGACTCGCTGGATTTGCCGCCGTCGTGTCGATAATACGAACCAATGTAGCCAAGAAGCGCTCGTTGGATGCCTTCGTGAGCGTTTTCATCTTCTAAAACGTCCACGACTCGAGAAAGGATCGTGCTGTCCATGGCCATGTTGTGGCTCGTCAAGTTGGTCAAGGCCAACGCGGCCGCTGCCTGCATGCGAATATCTCGCGATTGCAATTGGTCCGACACGACCAGACCCACATCATCCGAAAAAGTCGGCTGCGTCGCCACGTCCAAGTTGCCACAGAGCTTGGCGAACGCGAGAAACGACGGCACACCCACGTCCGCATCCGTTGACGTTACCAGGCGAAGCAGCTCGGGTGCCAACGCTGTGTCCACATGCTCCGCTTGAACCAAACGCTGGACAGCCCTGGCAGTATGCGCGCCGCCTGTCCGCCAAGTGTGGGCGCCAGTATGTACATACACAGCATGAACCTACCTCGACGTAGCTCGCTCACGATGGTTGCTAAGGTCATGCTTGAGTTTGTGTGCGAGTTTACTGGTGCTCAGTTTTTTACACCAATCCACAGTCGTCGTTCCAAGCATTAACCAATCTAATTCTTGCATGCATCATACAGTGTTTTTATTGGTTGATTTATGGTATTTATCAACCAATCCTGTTGCAACAACCAAAACACGACCTTGCAGTTTACCCTCACAATGGATTTTCCGGGGAGAAGGATGGTACCTCCGCTTGTTTCTACTGTCGCGCCGCTTTCTTCGGCAACGTCGTCCTGCTGGGCATGTATCGACCTCACAATCGAATCTGCGCACCATGCCAACAGTTATCGGATGGGGACTCTTGCTCCTGCAATGCACTCTACTCGTTCAATGCCACTCGTGGATCGATGCGATGTGGTGCTCTCCGGGAACGCTCGGCTACCCCCGCAACTACCGCAACCGCACGGACCTTCCGCCCAACAGCCCTGCGTTCGACCGCCTCATGACGTACAAGATTGAAAACTACAACAGCATCACACCGCTGTGTGCGATCACGCAGAAGACCCCGACGCAGGCCGATCGATACCCGCGGTTGACGTGTCCGCCCAACGCCACCGTGCACTTCCGCTACAACTCGAACGGCCATGTGACCAACGACAAGTGCCTTCCCAAGGACCCTCGTGGATGCGATGGACCGTATCCCGTGTCCTCGACGTGGTACATCCTCTGGAACCGAACACCCTCGTATGAACTGCGCCGCTTCAACCTGCCAAAGATATGGAATGCATCGCATCCGGCTGTGCGCGGCGGCGTGAAGCTAGTTGGCAACGGACCTTTCGACGACGGGCTATGTGGCCAAGTGGGTTCCAAGCGGCCCCGCGAAGGCCAGCCATGCGAAGGTTCCTTCCAGCTGCCTTCCGTTGACTCGAGCCAGCGCATCTCCCTTGTCTGGTTCTGGGCATTCAACCGCATCCACAACGTCGGCGAAGAGTACACGACGTGTTTTGACGTTGACATCGAAGTTGAGACCGAGTCCGGATAAAGGATTGAGATCCACCAATCACGATTGAATATAGTCGAAAATATATACCGGATAAATTGACTTTCACACGCACGACCAATTATGCCGCCGCTAACTCTGCATACCCGCGACACTGGCCTCCATGCTGACTGCGTGGAGAGCTGTCCCGTCGAAGGCCATGAGAATATCATGGCCGTTGGAACGTATCACTTGTCCAAACACGAAGGCGAGGCGGACACGCGTAGTGGAACCATCGCTTTGCATTCGTTAACAACAAAGTCTGACGACGGCAGTGTCGACATGGAGGACACGTCCGTGGTGCAGATGCAGAGCGGAGTGTTCGACATGAAGTGGTCGTTTCCCCGCGTGCACAACAAAGCGCTCATAGGTATTGCAACGGCGGCTGGGACGTTGGAAGTCATGGAGTTGCAAGAGGTACACAGGGGTGTTGTACTTGTCGTACTTACTTGAGCATACCGGTAGGAATCCCAAGCATTGGTACATGTGGCGTCTACCGCGCCCAGCGACACGATGTTTCTGTCCTTGGTACATGCGACATGGTACCGTCTTGTCGTTGAAGTGGTTGTGTGACTACAGGACTGGAACAATCGGGTCGTCCCAACTGCCAACCCACAGGTGGCAGTGAGTCAATCGAATGGGTAGTACCTAATTTTGGCTTCATTTAATTTAGCCATTCATTCGTGTTATTCTCTACATAGACGAGTGTCGGTGTGGCAGCACGGGGAGGCGGCGCTGGACCGTGTGCAAGAGGTACATATGTACCCATATTGTCTTCTTTTACCCAAAACTTTGGACTTTTGTGCAAAGTCGCCAAGTCTATCAATCGATGATCGATTCTTTATACTGAAATTTGTATGTAAAAACGTGTCCTGTGGTCATTGGTATCACACTAATTGAAGTCGCACACTAATTTGACGTTGATCATGGGCAATGTGATTGGCTAAACCCTAATTCTGCCGATTCTTGTGTACATTTGATTGTGTCGATGTTCATTTATGATGTCGCTCCAGTTTATAATATAAACACAACAATATGTACTCAACTCGACTCGCTCGTGGCTGCATGTTTTTTGTATGGTTAGTGGCGCGCCCACGATATGTTTGGGAGTGAGATTGAAGTGTGGATCACAGCTTGGAACTACCACCACGCCGATGTGTTGTACACTGGCGGCGACGACGCTACGTTCAAAGGGTACGTACGTACTCTTATCCTGTTACCCAAATCGCCAAATCGATAGATCAATTCTTTGTCGAGACTTTTGTATGCAAACATCGTCCAGTAACGTCACACGAATTTCAGTCACACAACCTTAATTCGATGTTGATTTGATTTTGATTGGCCACGTGATTCGTGTTCTGGGTTTTGATTGGTCGATCGATATTGTCTGCCGATTGGGTATAATTACGACTAAACTTTGTGAACTATTTGGTTATTTTTTCTAGATGGGACACGCGGGAAACGACTCGTCCTACATTTGTCAACCGGTCCGTCCACAGCATGGGTGTCTGCAGCATGCACACACATCCTCACCATGAGCATGTACTCGCCGTCGGCAGCTACGACGAGACCATTTCCATCTGGGACACGCGGTCGTTCAAGGTATATATTGTAGTATTGTGCTTTCGAGTGAAATTTCGTGTTGTGGCGTGGTTTCTCGTTGGAATTTAAATCGATTTGATTGGCTGCTTCAGAAGAGCTCAACATTATTAACCAATCAAAACCTTCTCAATGAAATTCAACCAATCAGATCGATTGTGGATCGGTTTGCGCGATTCGATTGCACGCCCTCCCCAAATTTGTATCAAATCGACAATAGTAAACCTTGTATACTTTGTAATAATCTTATCAGCTATGATCGATGGACCTTGACCAACGGGGCGTTCTTTGTATGTAGCAACCGACGCTGCAGTATGGCACGGGCGGCGGCGTGTGGCGGCTCAAGTGGCATCCATTGGCGTCGCATGACGTAAGCTTTCTCGTTCATGTATTCCTAGTATTGTTGTGTTTATATTCTAAACTGGAGTGACAAGAACAATGAATGAATATCGACATAATCAAATGTACACAAGAATCGGCAGAATTAGAGTTTAGCCAATCACATTGCCGGAAACCATGATCAACGTCGAATTAGTGTGCGACTTCAATTAGTGTGATACCAATGACCACGGGACACGTTTTTACATACAAAATTCAGTATAAAGAAGAATCGATCGATTTGATGATAGACTTGGCGATGCAGCACAAAATTCCAAAGTTTTTGGGGTAAAATACCTCCACGCCTTGTTTAGTCGTTAGTGTTCGTGTGTGGGTATTGTTGTGTTTATTCTTCTAAACTGGAGCGACATGGCGGATGAGTGAATCGACGACACAACCAAATATTGTGAATTCGCTGTAAACTTGCACACTTCGCCTGATTTGTCAAATCAATATTGAATCACGCCGGTTTTTTTCTGATTGGTTGAATATACTTGTCCTTTCTGCAAGAGCCAATCAAATCCACTCAAAAATCGGATTCGCCAATAGCGTCAATGATTCGTGATGCGATGCGGCAGCGAGATTTTTCGATTCGACGGGGTCTGGAAATTGGTATCGAATCCACAATAACGAACTGTACACAAGACTCATCATCGGCAGAAGAATATTGAGCCAATCAGATTGCAGGAACAACCATCACCGACATTCGAATTAGTGTGTGGCTGAAATTAGTGTGAATACAATCACCACACCCTATTTTTCACATTCAATATGATTCAGTACAAGGAATGGATGATCGATGGGTTTGCCAATTCAGCGCAAAAGTAGTCCAAGTGTTGAGTGAAAGGACAATACATGTATTAATACCTGTTGGCGTTCGATTGTTTGTTTGGGTACTACTTGCAGAACCCGCCCCCCCCTCACGTGTTCACGTGTTCACTGACTGCGTCGAATGGATAGTTCTGTGATCTGAATTGTTGATATCGTTTCTACCTGTAGTCGTTGTTGCTGGCAGCATGCATGCACAATGGATTTCAAGTCCATGACGTGGCACGTCTTGGCAAGCCCACGACAGAGGAGCAGCAGCGACGTGTTCAAACCCGAGCACACTACACCCAGCAAACGTCGTTGGCGTACGGTGTCGACTGGTGGCTCGACCCTGCGACCCTTCAGTCCCAGCACCAGGTGGTCGGCAGCGCTTCGTTCTACGACCATGCGTTTCACGTGTGGAGTACCGTGACTACATAGTTGTAGTTGACTACATAGTTGTAGTTGGTTGGCTGTTGCTGCTGCTGCAAATCAAACACTTTTTTAGTCTTGTTATAGCGTTCTCGTGTAATGCACCGTTCTTCAAACAATTCAAGCTGAACATGTGATTGGTCGTGGCAAGCTTGCTAAAAGAAAGTGCGACGGGCGTTGCTACTATTAATACAGACAGTACTGTTCGCGACATCTACTACTGTGCAGGTCGCTGGCGACGACACGCATGCCGACAGCATTGAAGCATATGTGTAACTACTGTCTGTAAGTTACTGGCGAAGAACGTTACAATATGCTCGAACGATTGTGGGCAGAATATGCAAGCAATCGACTTTCTTATCATCGTAAAAGTCGAATGTAGTTCGGTTCATTTTCAGGTCCATGGGAATTATTAGCCAATGAATTTCTAGAAAGACAGTTTTTACCCTAACCGGCCAAAAAATGTGCACATGGGGCATACAAATACGTATTAAGCTTAACATGGTACACCTTCAATTGGATCTAACAACAATGCATCGAATTCATAACTCCCGCATACAACCTGGATGTTGGCGTCAAGTAAGTGTTAATATGAACGGGTATTAATTACTACATAGAGTTATAATGTCGACGTTACATGTCTTTCACTACAGCGCCTCGTTCTTACAGTGAACATGTACATTGGACCTTTACGAGAGCACACATGCAACAATGTGTCGTTACACGAATAAAGACGACATGTATAAGTACTACTACAAGTACTGTAGTGGCGCCCAATAGATAGCGCCGAGTTGGGAGAACGGCTGCTGCGGGCGGTGGTCGTTGCTGTAGGAACGAAGATTGCCACAGCATGCTCGAGAGCAAAGTCGACAGTCACATGTCGTCGTCGTCGAATTCGGTCAACGCTACGTCCTTGAACTGCTGGTACGCTTGCAAGAGCTCTTCGTAGCGACTTTGGCGACTGACAGACAACACGGTGAGCTTGGCGAGTTGGTTCTGGAGCCCCTGGATCATCATTTCGTGCTGCGCTTCACGCATCGCTTTTTCCAAGAGGCGTTGACGCAGCAAGTCTCGTTCTTGGGTGAGGCTTCGGCATCGTCCTTGGAGTGCATCGGGGTCGATCTCTTCGCCATCTCCCACTGGCAACGGCACGAGCGACGGGGAGCTGTGCCGTCTCCACGAGTTGGTCGATGGCGCGATCATTTCATGGTTGGACGCCCGTCGTTGCATGTGTGTGATTGAAAATGAGGGTTTTGCAGGTCCAGGAAGGTGTAGCGTTCGATGTCAACAACTTTGCAAGACGGGTTGTGTAATACGGTAGCTTGAGAAATATACGATTTTTGGATCAGGTACTAATGGGCTGAATGTATTTTCCACTCGCCGACGTCCTTTTGTCGTCGTCGCCTTGTTCCTGAATGTTGGTCATATCAATGCAAACTTGATGTCAGAATGTTGATTCTTGAAGTTGCTTCTTGGGTTTGCCGCCCTACCTTTGCAGAACGCGACGACAGGCAGATGACAGAACGGGGAAGGCGGCGCTTCCTTGTACATAGATCTCGTCGTTGGAACGACATAGCGCAAAGAACTCGAACGACCAACTGAAACTGGCGCCATTGATGTTACCGACTATGTCCTTGTAAATTTGAGGGATAAAGGGTTGTCGATTCAGTCGGTATAAATTTCCAACCCCGTCGAATCCAATCTCGCCACCGAATCGAATCACAAATCTCGAATTTTGAGTGGCTTTGATTGGCTCTTACAGAGAGGACTGGTATATTCATCCAATCCGAACTCCAGCGTGATTCAATATTGATTCACGTTAAACCACGCGAATTTTGGAAGTTTATAGCAAATTCACAATACTGGTACAGAAACGTAAACGATCCATACATAGGTGGCCAGAAAATCGATCCCTAGCTTTTTTACGCTTTCTCAACAAATGTAAGACGATTTGAACGAACTTTCAACTATGGTGGTATAGAGGATTGAACGTGCTACACGTGTAAGCTTTTTTGAAGGATTTAGTTCGATGTATGCTTCACCAAGTTATTGATGGTATTTTGAGAATCATATCAATATCAGTAGATGGACCTAGTTTAACCTTAACGTTAGTGGAAATAGGGGGCTTCGAAATTCTATTGTCGATATGAAATAATTTTCGGCCTGAAAAGTATTTCAGGCCATTCTCTGACTACGGTAGTACCAGGCAATTTACAGTAAATTGACTGATACATTGGAAAGTTAAACCAGTAAATTATTTACTGGTTTAATAACTTTCCAATTGCCGTATTTGAGTGACGAATTAGTGACAAACATGAATGGGGTAGATCTCCGTGTTTAGGAGCGACGGCGGCAGCACATCCTGCACGCGACATTTAGGGTTATCATGGTTGCAAATATCCCAGCACAGCATTCATTAATATCCCTGCACAGCATTCATGTGAAAGAACCAATTCAACTGAAATTACCGTGCGATATTTGTGGGTGCATCCACGTCCTTGTACAGTACTGACTGTTTTACACCCGAGAGTGTAGTGTGCATTGATGATAAAGATGAGTTGCGACACTGTTTCACATCCGATTCCGATGGCATATTCACCGCGTTGAAATGCCACCATGCATTTAGAACAGTTCCACTGTTGTTTTTCTCAGAAAACACTGCATATTTACTTACTGTTAATGTACTGGTAATTGTTTACCACCTCGCATTATGCATCTTAGTGGATAGAGATAGCTAACCACTGGTGATGCAGTAACCCCGGGAATTTCGCATTGTATGTACTCGACGGGGGTAGGACGGAGTCCCAGGTTACAGGGCTATAGGCCAAAATGTGTAGCCCGATGTATTTCGGGTCAAACCAGTAGTGGTAGTGTTTAGTTTGCTTGTGTAAATCATAATTCGGGAAAAGTGTTTTCTGACGCCACCTCAAACATGTACAGTGCTACTAATGTTGCCAGGTAGTACCTCTCTAGATTTTTCCACTGCATTCGATTCATTCGTTAAATGACCGTTGACCGCACTGTTCAAGCTAACAGGTTGGATTTCACCCTGTTCAGGGGAGATTTCGGAGCAGGTCCAGCACGCACTGGCCGGTGGCTTTGGCCATGGCAGTAGTCCCCATCTCAACTTGGCAGTACAGGTTCCCCACCACGTCATGGGCATGGTGAGTCATGTCGTGTACGAACGGCGTATCGCCCTTGGCAGCAACTTGGGCGTCATGGTGTCGTTGCTGGGCAACGTCGTTCATCTTGGCGTACACGATCGCGAGGTTGCGATGGGCACGCGCCATGCCAACGTACGAGTCCACCTGCGTGCTCAAGCTCAGGTCGTTTGAGTGACTGGCAATCGCATCGGCAAATTGTCGTTTTGCAGCAAACACGTTGCCCAGATTCGCATACGTGCGAGAGGCCAACTCATGGTCGTGTTCTGCGGTGGCGATCGTCATGCACTTGACGTGGTAGTCGTACGCCAACGTGTATTGGTGAGATGCCACGTGCACCACGCCGAGCCCTGGTACCCCAACCGTTCGTTGGTTCAACACAGCAACTTGGATACAACCTACTACTACCTTTGAACCCTCGGCCTTGGAGCTTGACATGGTTGACCGACTGCGCCAAGTGAATGCATTTTGTGTGGCTTGCAAGGGACGCGGTCAAATCGCCGGCATCTTTTTCGGCCGTGCCCATATGGTGGTACACCAACGCTTTTAACAAAACGTCGTCGACGTCATCGGCCACTCGCAACACCTAACCACCAGAGTATATCGAACGAGCGATAGCATGAAGAGGACGGACACTGCGAAATGTGACGAGCGCTGATTGGACGTCGCCTTGGCCGTAGAGTTGGTACGCTCCCAGCGCGAGTCCTTTGGCTGCAGGAAGGTACGCGCTATGCAGCTCCATTTCGGTGAGGAAGAACCCTCCATCATCGCCACGCTCAATCAGAGGCGGAATGGTGACGCTGGATGGGATGAAGGCTGGCATCGGAAGCGTTCGCAATGGGGGAGGCCCGCCCCCGCTGCTTCGACGGGCGTAGCGCACTCGCGGGCGTCCGTGACCCCTACCACCCCCCCCCAAATGACATGGCTAGAATGGACCAAGCTAGCTGGAAAAACAAAATCAAGGGGATATATGTACAAGATGACGATAGGAGCCGAGGCAGCGGAGAGGATGCTGTTTGAGTGTATGTGGCTGCTGCTACTACTACTACGCATAAAATAAGTACACGAGTGTTGAGTCTTCGGCATGCCAGATGTCCACAAACCTGGCAACGAACGTCGGCATCGACTGGCTTTGCCCTAGTAGTCGACCACCTGACGACTGCAATGTCATTGTCCGAGCCTGGGCCCCCATGCTTCCACCTTTCTCTCGCAATCGCGTCTTTGATGGCAGATTGACTTGAGATGCTGGAATTACATGGAAGGGTTCAGCATGATGACGTGGAGTCACGATGACGTCGTCATCTTGCGGCAACTCGTCCATTGCGAAGGTGTTGCCTGCTTCTTCTTCGTCGTCGACGCTACTCCCGTTATCGTCGTCATTGTCGGGACCTTCACCATGAGCCAAAGAACTGTTCGCCTTGGCGACCCACGAAACAAGACAAGGGTTGATGTTGTTGGAAGACAAACGCATGGCGCTGGCCGAGCGGCGGAGTCGTCGAGGGACGCGGCGGGTGTCCGTGCTATCCTTGCGCGTACACGTGGTCAAATGGGGCGAAGGGGCATTGCGTAGCCGAAGCTCGGCGTGTAGGTTTGGATACTCGTCGCGTCCATGCACCATGTATGCCTGTACTATCTAGACGGTGCCAGCTCCAAAAGCTATATTTAGGCTGGCTTCTGTACAGCACTAACATGGTATCATCGTGGCCGTTCGACGTGCGGTTGCTGTCGATGATTTCGATGTGCTAAGAGGATGGGTTTCAACTCCACAGAGCTGTGGCGACTACTGCAGTTGTATGACGAGTGCGAGCCAAACGACAAAGTACATAGAGACCACGTTCGATTCCGATACGTTAAGGAGGTTCGATTGAACCATGCTGTAAGGAGTGGAACGAGGATTTAGTGGTGGTGGTGCTTCCACTTGATCAAGGCTTCGATGGTGGCGGCGGGCGTGTTGGCGCCGAGGATTTGGGTCAATTCCTTCTTTTCGATCGATTCTTGGGTCTGCGCGCCTTGGGTGTCGGCGGCATCGGCTTGGCCCTTCAACTTGGAGAGCAGCTTGCGAAGGGCGCGTTCATCTTCCTTGCTACAACGAGGGCAATACGGTTAGAATCCTTCGCATCGCATGGTCAGTGTGGCAGTCGGTCGAAGACGACGACGTACTTGAAGTAACGAGCTTCTTCGGCACGCTCCTTTTCGGCGAACTTGTCCGAGAACGAACGGGAAGGCATGGCAGCAGAGAAGGCGGACACTTGGACACGGGCGGCGGCGCGGCGGACGGCGAGCATGATGACACGATCGATTTAAAAGCTAAACTGACGGGTCTACCGCCCGCCGCACGATAGCGTGTCGTTTTTTTGTGTTAAACAAAACATGTTTAAAACATGTGTACAACATGTTTTAAACGCTCAACCCATGGGGATTAATACTATTCAGCAGCAGCTTACATGTTAATATTTGGACACAACAACATACAAGGGGCACATATTGGGAACATAAAAGGCAAGCTGAACCTGATAGCTAACGTTAGCTTTATAATGCCCATTCAAAGCGTAGAGGACAGAATCGACTCTGGAGGCGAACTACTGTACCGTATCGCATCTAAGAACGATATACAGTACTATTAATCACGTCTTGAGAAATCCTACTAGTAGTACTACGTAGTACTAGTATATCGTACATACAATTGGCACATAGAATCGCCATCAACGAACCCTCTCAAGGGTCAACATCACCCACCTACTACCATTTCATTGGAATCTGGCTATGACGACTCTACCTAAGTTACTTACTGTATGTTTGGACGGCCTGTAAGATTCTTTTGTCAATTTTTGGCCGTTTTGGCTGAAATTTTGAGGTTTTGTTCATCATCGTGGCAGCGGTTTGTAACAGCAACCGATTATATATAGCCGAGCAATTCAATCTTGAATAATTTGAATCTGTAACGTGTTTCTGACTATTAATACCCCGTAAAATGTAATGTTTTTGTTGCAATTATCATCAAGTTTGATTATTAAATGCACTCGAAGATTGAAAATGAGTAGTACTATTAATATTAATAGTATGGCTGTTGCTTCCTCAAGATATACTATCGATTTTCTTTAAATTTCCCACCCACGAACGTCGCCTTGACATCTGATTGGTTACTATCCACTTCGTCATATGTATTGTAGCCAATCAGCGAAGAGTAATTCCAAACTGACCAGAAGAATTGGGACCCGTTCCCGTTCGATGGAATACTAATCTCCAATATCCACGAACAAACACAATATATTCATTCTCCCTAACGTTAGGGAAAAATATGTGTGCATAACTTAATTTTGGTATATATATATATATCGGTCCTTTGAGAAGACATGGATGGATGTATGTACACACTGTATTCAAGCGTTCACAATAAATCTCGACACTACAAAGGCCAGTCTCTCTCTCAACTGCGAAAAACTCGTGTTGGAGCTTTACTTCCACGTGGTGGCACATCCATCTTCTGGACGAAACAGCGGGCGGTTCGCGATCGCCAAGTCTGAGCCTTTTCGAACAAAATACCCAAACGCCAGCACGACGACGGCGACGACCGCGCCCGTGGCATGCAGCAGCCGGTTGAATGCAAACAATACGTCAAAGCCATCCCACGCCACGAGACCCGTGAATAGCACCACCGTCGTGCCCATCGCCCCAATTAAGTACGATTGCTACACCAGTTCCAATATGTGACACACCGACACGAGCGAGAGAGAGAAAAACATGGATAACAAACTACACCATGTGGCCGTGTACTACGACTACTAGTATTGTATATATATATATATATCGATTCAAAGAAACACGTGAAAAAAATAGCGCAACATTAAAAAAACAATTACTGTGAGTATCTATTAAATGTATACTTTTATAATAATAAAAAGTTTTGAGATAATATTACATGATTTAAAATGAAATCCAAAAAAGTAGGAACATGTAAACCACTGTGGCCATATACTACTACCGTATGCGTGGTACCTTTGCACCATGATATTGATTTAATTTGAAGAATTTATTTAAATATTCGAAATGGATAGTGGATTTGAGATTGGGTGGAATATTATAATCATATTTCGCGTTTTATATGTCCTCGTACATATCAACACAAGAAGCATGTGGCGATATAATAATACTCTAGTATATTGTATTGATGGTTTTTCACTGGAGCCACAATGAAATAAATATACACAATCATATCGGCAGAAGTATGTTTATACTGTAGCCAATCAATCCGATGGCCCGAACCCATCATCCCCATCGAATTCGTCTGCGACTTCAAATAGTGTGTGATTCCAATCCCCATAGGACCACGATTTTTTACAAACAAAATTCAGCCCAAACAATATCAGTCGATAGATATTTGGCGAATTGTCGACACAAATCCAAACATTTTGGGTAAAAGGACATATATCACGATGTGTGGGTGGGGGTGGTTATTACCATGGACGAAGCCGACGACCCAAACGGCGACGCCTTGTGCCGCGATGGGACGTACCGCAGCAGCAACAAATCCATCGCATCTTGGCGAGTTCCGTCGTAAAAATTGTTGAGAATGTATCGCAGCACCGAGTTGTATCCGTCCATCAGCGCCCCGCGCGTCGTGCGCTTGCCCGTGCTACGTACGAGTCAGTTGTGATAAGTAGTATACGTTAGAACAACTAATTATACATATTTATTTATATTGTGCATTTGCTGTAAAAACGTCCAACAGTCCCGTGGTGTTTGTTCTATGCACTATGGAATCACACTGGAGATTCTGATTGGCTGATAATATATATGTGTGTCCTTTTGTAACAGCCAATCAGATCCACTCAAATTTGGAATTGCCAAAAGCGAACGACGATTCGTGAATCGATATAGCTGGAAAGTTGTACCGAATCCACAATATATATATATATATATATATATATTATACATGGTCAATTCGATTTAAAAATGGAGTGTTCTCAATGGAATGAGTAGAACCAAACCGGCCGACTATCGATCGATTCCAAAATCAAAACACTGATCACGTATCAATTGGCCCCAATCAAATCCCAAGTAACTTGCCATGAGCACAATGCTGGACCTTGTATACCATATTAATTTTTATATAACTGTGTGTTGCGAATAAAAGTCACTCGACACGACAATATTCCAAATACGATTCGAGAATTTCACAAAGCATGCATAACGATACACCAAGAGAGTATATATACGAGCAATATTTGCATTCCTGAAATAAGCTCTCCCTTTATATCTAACGACATACGGCAAACACATTTCGTTCAGAATCTCATCCTAGCCATGGTATTGTCTAATTTAACATTCTAAATCGAATGCCAAAACAACAAACGTGTGCAAAGCCCACCCAATGCGGCCTCCTTACACGCCAATACCATCACAGCACAGCTCCACCAATATATACTGTATATATATATATATATATATATATTGGTGGAGCTGTGATATATACATCACACAGCACAGCTCATATTTATATATATATATATATGGCTTTGTTAGAAAAATCCGAAAAACGACCCACCACACGTATATATAATATTACCGTGTAAAATCGGTTTTAAGCGCGCCCGTGCCCGCGTACAACAAGCTGATGGCGTCAGCGTTGTTGCCCCATAGATTTTTAAATGTTTTTTCAAACGATTCAAATGGAGACGTCAGCACATTGCCTTGGACCGACTCGCCCACTTGCAGCAGAAGACTTCGCCGCGCAAACAACGACTAGCCAATCAAACAAAATTAAAAATACACAATATTTGTGACCGAAATATATATATTTCGAATATATTTAAATATATATTTATATACACAAGACATGGACGAAGTACCTGCACGACGTTGGTGCGATCCAAGTTGTCCATGCAGTTGGTTCGAACGACGCCCGACTGCGTGCTCGTCACTTGTCCGGACGCTGACTTGGAGAAATACCTACAAATATACAAAAATATATATATATTTAAATAACTTTTGAATACACGATCGCCGTACGCAAGAAATACTAGTAGATCACGTTGGGTATCGTAATGTCCAGACTTGTTGTGTATATACTAGTAAATATATATATGTACTACAGTAGTATATACAACAAGTCGTGCGTGTCATTATTACGGCCGACATATTTATATATATCAAACTAAGCATTTTCCACGAACCACCTACACTTGTGGGAAAATAATGTTTCCCAAACCTGTATAAACCGATAAAGTGTACCTTAAAATGACATTGAGGCAAGCAATTCCGGACAGAGGTAGTACAACATAGCACCACACTAGTACAATACCAAATATCACAATACAAAATATATCATCACACAAATATCACAATACAAAATATATCATCACACAAAATATCAAATAAAAAGAACAATAAAAAATAACAACGCCAAATAGCACGATGCAAAATATCCAACATTCAAAATATCATCATACAACGTATAAAAAACCCAATAAAGTATCATCCCATATTTAAAACGTAAATAAAAAAAACATGTTTGTATGTCGTACGTATACTACTACTATTATTATTACCCATAGTCCTGAAAGTCGTCGTCAACTTGCGAGATCAACTTGCCCAAGTTGGCATATTGCATGCGGCGGCATTCGTGGTGGAAATCAAACCACACGTAGCTACATGTCATGTTATAATCACCAAATGCCAGGCAAAAAGCCTACCGAATATTGGCCAGAATGTGCGTGTTGAGCGTCGACGCGTGGCCGAATGTTTTTTCAAATGCTTCGCCGAGCTTGAGCTGCTCTGTCTTTTTGTCGATCAAGTTGACAAGGATCACGCGACCGTACAGCTTCATCAATTCCTCCGCATGCAGTTGGAACGCCGCCGTGTCCGTGTCCGCTTGAGCCCGCTGAAACACCTTGGGCGCGTACTTGAGAGTCGCGGGTGAGCTCCACACCACTGGGATACTGCCTCGTATCTACGACGACATTGACAGTAGCAAAACGAGAACCACATACATTGTAAACCATATCCTGTTGTTTGAATTTTACCGAAGACTAAATTTAAAAATATATAATATGAAGAAAGAAAGGATGTATTGATTTAAAAACTATATGATATTGATAAAGAATGGATTTTACTGTGTATACAATACAATTAGAAAAACATTATTACAGAGAATAGTTTTTAAATACAATTCAAAAAATAATACATCGACTGGACAGTATGACTGTGTATGCATGCATATATATATAAATATATACATATTTTTTCTGTACCTGGACAAACGACGTTTCGCGGCCGTCGGCAAACAACAACGCTTGTTCGGTTTCGACGAAATTCGCCACATTTCCTTCCTAAAATGTCCAAAAACGAACTCATTTTAGTGAAAAATCACCTAAATTGGAGGATATTTCATATTTTTGGAGTGTATATTTCGTGTCCATCTCAACTTCGAGACGTACGCTGTCGATGCCACGCATGGTGAAGCGGGTGCCCTGGCGGCGACACGACCGGCGGGAGATGTAGAGCAGGTCGAACGTGGCTTTGTTGTCTGCGATGGACACGTGCTTGCACACTTCGACATAGCCCTGCATGATGGGCACGACCCATGCAAACAGCTTCTTCTCCAGCAGGAACGAGCACGCGGCATAGTTCCAGCAAAAGCGCGGGTCGGCGCGCTCGGCAATCGACACGGTCGGGGACAGCGACGTCGTGATGCGTTGCAACGTGTGTGTCAAGTCGTACTCGAACGCAAAGTAGAGCAGTTGCGCTTCCACGTCCGTCGTGATCATCGCCATGTACCTAGAGTGTATCATCATAGCAAGGTCATGATGGGTCATGGATCGGTACCGCTCTTCGTCCTCGACTTGCGCGGGGGTGAGATGGGGGAGTTGCTGCGTCGGGAGCAACACCATTTCGATCGCTGTGACCTGGCGTACTTCCACGTCGGCGCCGCGCACCTTGAACTTCCCCACGGACCGAGACCCGGTTACCAGCGCCAAGTACCTTCCCCGCAACAACGTGTAGATGCCAAAGATCGCGTCGAACGTGAGACTCCGCCCCTGCGCGTGGTTGAGTTCCGACACGTCTTCAAGGACGACACCGGCCCCCGTGGTGGCGGCGTTACGGTTCAAGAGCAAGCACTGCTCGTTGCCTTTCTGCGAGATCGCCAGGTGGGTCAAGTCCGACAGCACATGCAGCTCGAAGCGGCCCGTCGACGTTGGTCGACTGCTGCTGCTCATCCTCGTGGGGTTATCGGATGTCGGACATTTGCCTCACGAATCCGGATAAAAGGTACACATTCGTCCTAGTTTCGGCCTATATTAAGGTAATCTAATTCGGATATTTCTTAAAATTAGGATATATTTAGGCACCAATCAAATAGCGTACATTTGGAAATGCCGCAACATGATTCGTGGATTCGGCTCAAACATATATAATTCGTTGAAAGCACGACGACGGAAGATCAATAGTACTACGTAGTACTACGTAGTATTAAATAAGATTAATATCGCTTTCGATCGGCTTACAGGATAGCCGTGTGGACCATCATCATCCACGACCCCACGCCGAGCGCGAGGACGACGATGCCGTTCGAGAGGATGCCATGATGACCGCTTGCGCTGCTGTCCACCATCGGCGGCTGTGGCTCTGTCGGCAGCGGCGGGGGCACCACCACATCGCCGTCTTCACTCGCGACAAACACATTCGACTTGATCTCGTCAAAGGCGAGCTGCGTCGCATTGAAAAGGACGTTGTTGGCGACGAGGGTCTGTCCGAGCGTGCCGTTGGTGACGTTGCCGTACGCCATGTCCTGGAACAACGTGTCGGTGGCGTTCATGGCCTCCACGGACGGCAACGCCACGCCGATCGTCACCTCCAAGAACGCAGTCGAGTTGATGATCACATCACGCGCTTGCAACGTGACGTTATCGCGCACGATTGTGGCCGATTTGACCGGGGCCAACGACTGCGCGACGCCAGAGGCAAAGTCGTACTCGGCGCCCGCGAGGCTTGTCGAGTTGGCGCCTTGCAGCAGCACGACCGTCACGACGGAGAACTTGATGTCGGCCGCAATCGTCGGCACCAACGTCGTGGCGACGATGGTGGACGTGTCCACAGGAGCATTCGCCGCCGGCGGCACAGGCAAGGCCGCTTGCACCGGTGTCAACGGATACGCCGCCGGCCTGCACGACAAAACGCACCGACTCGGCTGGTTCAACGCTTGGTTGCACTGATCGTACACGGGTTGATAGTACGAATAGCAAGAAGACCGCAAGCAACTGAGCAGGCCTGGGTAGCAGAAGCACCCGTCACCGTACACAAAGAGGCATCGCTGGTAGTTGCGGTAGCAGTAACTGTGGTAGCACGTGTTGGTGGCCCAATACACGGGCGAGATGTATATGTACGGGCGCCACACGTACAATGGATACACATACACGGGGAAGTACGAGTATCCGATGGGCGCGACGATGATCGGCCGGGCCACCACAGGCTGGGCGTACGCCACGGGGGTGACTGGGCGGTACGGGATTTGCGACGGCGCCACGGCTGGACGAGGTACCGGTCCTGACGGAGGGCGAGGACCAGGTGCGGGAGCAGGCGCTGGTCGAGGCGCCGGGCCTGGCGCCGGTCGAGGTGCGGGAGCTGGTGCAGGAGCTGGCGCGGGACGAGGAGCAGGTGCGGGAGCGGGACGAGGAGCAGGTGCGGGAGCAGGACGAGGTGCAGGCCTCGCACCACCACCACCCGGCCTGCCGCCCTTGGCTACAACTTGGCCGAGAAGTTGACGGAGGTAGTGGGAAACCGAGCTGCTTGCGCCCTCGACGACGTACTGGTCGGATGTATGGGCCGCCGCGAGCGCCGCGACGATGTACAGAACCACCAGGACCAGGTACCGCATGGTCGAACTGCAGGTTAGGAAATGACTTCACCGCACCGGGGCCAGTTCGATTTCAAGCGACTTCCCAGGATGTTGGAGACAAATTGGTTGTTTATTAGCCAATGGGAGTTTCTACACATTCAAGAAGCCAATCAACGCGACGAAATCCTATTTACACTGTTAATGTATGTATCCTTGTCCCACGGTGAATGGAACGTAACGTATTCAAATACCATGGATTCTTGAAGTTAAGAAATCAACAAGGATATTGTATGCGAATTCGATATTAATTTAAAATGTTGGATGCGATGAATTCATCAGCAATATTATTCGATAAGCCAATCGGATTTCGCGCAACCTTTCAAGATTTCATCCTAGGCAACTCAACATCTGGACCTACGTGTTAACGTTGCAAGCGTACTCGTACACAACTGTAGTACACCTTCGAAGTGCATAGCTACATATCTATGCCTTGCGAAGGTCGCTCACGACGACGCCGACTTGCCGCGCCTCATCTTCATACTTTTGAATGCGATAGGGTTCGGCCAACGCTCCTTGTTCCCACTCCTGCATCGACGTGAGGTTGCGCAACCGGTCAAAATACGCGTTCACGTCGGCATCCGCCACGGAGATGCCATACGTTTGGAAGCGAAACGCCACGGGGCAATACATGGCATCGGCGGCCGTGAACGTTGGGCCAGCAAGGAACGGACCCGCAAACGAAGTCAGGCCTTGCTTGATCAGCGCACTCAACCGAGCGAGGTCCGCAGCAAACGCGTTGTCCGTGGAGTGCAGCTTGATGCGAAGCCCGACGTTGTTGTTGCACGTGTCACGAAGGGCACTGAAGCCCGAGTGCATTTCCGCGGTGGCAGATCGAGCAAATGCCCGCGCGCGAGAGTCAGCCGGCCACACGGCAGGATACGACTCGTACACTGTTTCAGCAATCGCTAGGCTATCCCAGACAATCAATCGATCTCCGGTCAATGCAGTGGCCCCGTTGGAGCTGACAATGAGCAATGGGAATTTGCGCGTGGGGGTGATGTTGATCCAAGGGTCGCGCAAGTTCTTGCCTGGGCTCAGGTCGTTCAAAGGTGCCACGTACTCCTCGAACGGAACGTTGAGCTCTTTCAATAGAACCCACGCGCGAAGAGGCCACGTGGAATAGTTCTTGTTGCCGACCACAAGAGTGTACGCCATGGTTGCTTGGTGGTATATGATGAAGGCCAAAGTGGAAATGGGATTTCCTGAACATGTCGAAAGCAGTACTACTACTCGTGACGACAGTACATAGGATTGACATATGTGGCGCACTTCTCCAATTATGGCGGGAATAAAAGGGGATTATCAACGAGTTTTTGGCGGTTACATTACTGTAACCGGTGCACCCACACAGCATCACGTGAAGAAAGCGCTTGTGGCAAAGGCATCAATAGAGACATTTAGCAAACCTGTAATTTGATCAAATTCCCGAAATTAACTACGTTCGAATTCACTTCGGGAATTTGATTCGGATATTTGAAGTTACACCTTTAGTAATCACGGAATTTGCAATTTCGATGCCAAAACCATTTCTAACAAATTAAACCCCGTTCATTGGCTTCGTAAGAGTAAGAGTTGACGATTAACCAGTCGTAACGATG